TCGATTAATTTAATTTTAAAGCAACCGAGCAATGCGCTGAGGAGGTAGAAGCATAGAAACATATGCTATTCACACAAGCCTCATTCATACTAATGTGCTCAATACGAGGATATCCTCAGACCTCAGCATTAGATCTCAGTCATTTGACTGGTCAGGCTGGTTCAAAAGCCCAAAAGCGAACCTTACTTAGGGCCCATTTTATTTTTTCCTAAATTCCGTTTTTTTCCATTTAAATTTGTCTAGACTCTGTTTTAATGGTTAAATGAATAAATATCAATAAAAAAACATGTCTTTTTTTTTTATATATATATTTATTGAACATTTTCCAACTTAAACAAAACACACATGAATATAAACCATAATCATAATAAAAAAAATCATAATAATAATAAACACATAATAAAAAAATTTAAAAATGGGGGAGTCGGCAAAATAAGAATAAGCAGACTTATCCTAGGCCACTAAAAAGGAAAATAAAAATTAGATACTCAAATTAAATGGATAACCACGCTAAATACATATTGGTAGTACAATACAAGTTCAAAATCTTATGCACTCACTTGGGGTAAATGAATAGGAAAACTCTTCAACAGGATAGTTGACAAATCAATCCCTAGATTATTGATATAAGGCTTCCAGACATTATAAAACTGACCCGGCTGACCATTAACTAAACATGTTAAATATTCCAATGGGATTAGTTCCATTAAAATCTTGTGCCATCCAGATATAGTCGGAGTCTTATCACTTATCCATCTCATTAATATATTTTTCCTGGCTGCAAATGTGAGAAGATTGTAAAGTCTTTTTTCATTTGATAAAATCACAGCTTTATCCGGCAAACCAAGGATCAACAATAGAGGATCCATAACCAACTCCTTATCAAAAATGTTACTCATTTCAGATACAATCCTGGCCCAGTATATTTGTAGCTGATTACATGACCAAAGACAGTGAGTGAGAATACCAACTTGTGTTTTGCACTTGAGGCATAAAGGTGAAAGGGTATTGTTAAATGCATGTCTACGGTTTGGTGAAATATGCATTCTGTGTAGAATTTTAAATTGTATCGCCATGGCACGGTTACATCCTGAAATGGATTTGGCATATTTCCAAATATCACCCCATTCTTCCTCACTAATAGAAGTAGAAAGTTCCCTCTCCCAAGCGAGTCTAGTATTCAAAACTACTTGTCAAACTCTTTCCAGGTGTTTGAAAAAGTAGTTTTTCTATAGGAGACAGACTTCTATTAGTACATAACGAGGTATCCTTCAAAATATAATTTCTAATCTGAAAAAAGTCCTGTTTTTAATAATTTATATTTCTGTCTCAGATCCTCAAAGGACATTAGGCCTTCTTCATCAAACACATCCATAAGCCGGTTAATACCTTGATTTGCCCAAAATTTAAACCTCCCATCAAATCTGCTTGGAGAGAAGTCTGGGTTATTCACAATTGGTGTAAGAGCAGAGGTTAGTTTAGTTCTACCTTGAAACGACAAACAGCCCTCCATGCCTTAAGTGCATTTACAGTTACAGGGTTATCACAATTATCCAATAAGAATTAAAAATTTTTGAGAAACAACAGATCCACAAGGGGAAGTTTTGACAATGTCTGTTCAAGGTCCAACCAAGTAGAGGAGTTATCGAGAACAACCCAATCAGAAATGTATCTTAGATGAGCAGACCATTGATATAGCTTAATATTAGGTAAGTCCAGCCCTCCATTCGAACCTGGTAAATGTAGTGCAGAAAACTTCAACCTTGGTTTGCGCTTGCTCCAAATGAAGGAGCTAAGCCAGCCATTCACATCCTTTAAAACCTTTTTAGAGAACAGAATAGGGATCATTTGGATTGGATACAGAACCTTGGGTAGGACAGTCATTTTTATGTCTTTGAATACATTTTTAAATACAGGGCTCACAAAAATACCCAGGTATATAAATCCTCCAGGGGACCACTTAAATGGAAATGAGGGGCTAATATTTGGAATTGTTTTCATAGAACCAACAGGCATAGCCTCTGACTTTGTTAAGTTGATTTTGTATCCTGAGAAAGTACTGAAAGTATTTATAATGTTTAGAAGAGATGGTACTGAAGAATCAGGATTTGAAATGAAAATGAGCACATCGTCTGCATAAAGGGCTAATTTATGATGTTTTTCGTCAGTCTGTAGACCTTCAATTGAAGGCTCTGTTCTGATTGCTTCAGCTAGGGGTTCAATAGCGAGCGCAAAAAGCAAGGGTGACAATGGGCACCCCTGCCTAGTCCCTCTATGTAATGAAAAACTTGCTGACCTAGAACCATTAGTAAGAACATAAGCTTTAGGTTCTTCACTCTAACCCATCTGATAAAAGTGTCACCAAAATTACATTTCTCCAAAACAAAAAATAAATATGACCACTCAATGCGGTCAAACGCTTTCTCTGCATCGAGAGGAAGCACTAACCCATCAATCTCACGCTGCTTAAAGACTTGTATAACATTAAGAAGACGTTTCATATTATTGCAAGATGACCGGCCTCTTATAAAATCTACTTGGTCATCTTTGATAACATCTGTTATTACATTCTCCAAACGAGAAGCCAGGATTTTGGCTAACAGCTTCCTATCTGTATTTAATAAAGATATGGGTCTATATGAAGAGCAGGCTTCAGGAGATTTACCTTTTTTCAGTATAAGAGAAATATTAGCTTCTCTCAGAGATTCAGGGAGCTGCCCAATGTTAAATGAATGGTTAAACATATTAAGGATGGGTTCAAGTAACAAAGTGTGCCATTCCTTATAGAATTCACAAACTATGCCATCTGTGCCTGGCACTTTTCCATTCTGCATCTTTGAAATTGCTTCCATTAATTCTTCCTTAGAGATAAGTGCACTTAATTTTGCTTTCTGCTCTACTGAGATAGTTGGTAAACTAATTTTGGAAAAAAAAACTTCTAATAGGGTAGTATTACTACTAGACACTTTAGTACTGTATAGATTCATATAGTAATTTCTGAATGTGTTATTAATTGATATACGATCATAATGTAACATCATTTGTGTCTAGTATTGATATGATTGAACGAGAGTCACTTTTCTTTTTAGTAAGGTATGCCAGAAATTTACCTGGTTTATCTCCGTGCTCATAGAATTTCTGTTTCGCAAATTTCAATTTGTATTCTGCATCCTGGGTAAGCAGTGAGTCTATAGAGCACCTTAACGCTGCTATTTCTTTAAGTAATGCCTTATCTGCAGTCTTCATATATTTTTCTTCTTTACTCTTCAAGGCCTCCTCTAAAAATCTTCGGGTCTCACTTTTTTTACGTTTCTTAGAAATAGAAAAGGACAAAATTAATCCCCTTATATAAGCTTTACTAGTCTCCCATAAAAGACAAGGGTCTTGTGTGGTTTGAGCATTAATATTATAGAAAGATGTAAATTCCGCAGAGAAAAAAGGGTTAAATAACTGATCTTTGAGTATATTAGTGTTAAATCGCCATTGCCGAAAGTTATCTCTGCTTGACGCCTTTAAATCTAGAACAACCATAGCATGATCTGAGATTACAATATTGTTAATACAACATCCGACGGCTAAATGCACTGAACACTTGGGCATAAAAAAAATTATCAATCCTTGTATAACATTGATGTGGTGGGAGAAAAAACTGTATTCTTTACCAGATGGGTGTAGAGCTCTCCAAACCTCTATAAATTCTAGGTCCTCACAGATGCCATTAATTTGTTTAGCTAGCTTAGATGGAGCCACTATTTTATGGGGAAATCAATCAATGAGAGGATTTAACATACAGTTAAAATCACCTGCAGCAATCATATAATCCGATCTCAGATCATGAAAGTCGATTTGAAAGTTTGATTATTATTTAATTAATTCAGAAATACTGTGTTGTGTATTTACATTTTTTTTGTAAAAAAATTATTTTTGTATATATGATATGACGATAGTTGTTCTTTACATTTATGTAATCTACAGCTAGCTGTGCATTAAATAATTTTAATGCATGACATGGAGGCAACAAACCACCCAACGTGCAGCGGAGATCTAGCATTCTGCCCACTTTAAATCAGACACAGAGAAGAAGTAGTGCTGTTAGACCACATTTATTTGAATGCATGAATTATAACATTGTTTTGAAATAATTAACGAGAGAGAGAGAGAGATGAAAGTTGTGTGTGTGTGAATTGCACTCTGCAAACAGTGTTTTTGAAGTAACTAAACTCACAGCTTCAGTGATTTTACCCCCTATAATGTAGCGATTCAGTATCGAAACTATTATATTAGTACAATTTACAAGGTAGCGTTGACATCATTTGAATACTATCTTAATTGAGAAAAAAGGAAGTTTAATTAACAGATTAACTTTACAGATAATGTTTAATTTTAAATTTGACTGAAATTTTAATTTGATTTTAATTTTAAATTTGACTGAAATGTGTTGTTAAAGCTCTTCCTCATCCCCTTCCCTGTCCACTTCATCTTCCAAATTTTCCAATAGGTCAGACTCCATCGTTTCACTGCTGCACAGAAAGCTGGGGTCTGAGTTCTTGTGAAGTTGTGGTGTGAACAAGAAAGAGCCTTAGATCACTTCAGTGCTGA